GACCCTGTAGGCATTAAATCAGGTTGTCAACACTTGTTAGTTCATTTGTGTCCGTGCCATGTTCACACTGTAATGTGAAACTACGAGAATAATTCAGTGTTTCAACGAAAATAAAGGACGTCTTGTTTGAATTGTACGCCTCAGCCCGTGAATAATAATGTCGAGACTTTTATATATGGAAATTGCTTTAGATTCTTATTGTTTACATCTTAATTATAAGTACATATCTATGATTTCGATAACGTCATGAAAAATATATTCGTAATCAACTACACTCACTCATATTTATAATAAAAACTAATAAAGAAGTTTACTGATACAGAAACACATCATTAACTTATTACAAATAAAAAAATATACATATTTGATTAAAAAAAAATAGAGCGTAGTTATGCGTTTATACATAACACAAATATTATATATCGTGTTTTAAACCGTTGAGTTTTTTTATTGAATTATGTACTAGGTACTCGCGTAAACTACAGACAGTATTTAAGTAACAAAAATCGTCGAATTCATTTCTATTTTTTTCAGTGATGCCATTAACCAATTCTTGTCGAAATTGTATCGTTTCGTTATACATAATAGTATCATGTTGATATTACGCTCACAATTCTCTATTAGTATTCAGCTTGAGATGAATACGTGACGTCATCGAGGCGAAGATCAAAGATCACTCTGACTTGCTACTGTACATACATGTTAAGTTTGTTAAATAGGGCTGAATCTACAACAATGTGAAACTAAATAAAGTTGAGCTTAAAAAAATGATACTGAATGAAGTACTTTTAGACAAATAAATACTTTATATTTTTAAATAAAACACTTTAACGGTTTAAAACGCGTGTATATTAGTTAAACTTATTTGAAAAGTATTTAAACTACGGCCCGACGTTTCGTTATAATATATTTTCAAAAAATACGCTTACTAAGATTTTAAAGAAAATAAATAATAGCATTCATTTTAATTCTGGGCTTTACCTTAATTGTTTTGAAATTTGTTTCTTTTTTTGTACTAAGCCAGTGAAGTATATCAAGCCTTTAGCCCTTCTAATATAAAAAGACCTGTGCCCAACAGTGGGATATTATTGGGTTGAAACAAATGTATTGGACTAACTCAGGCAGCCCTAGGCACATGGCAATGTCCTTTTCAAAGCGGAGCACAGAACAACATTGTGATGATTTAACTGGCGCACACAACGAGCAAAAATAGTCCTTTCCGACTTGAGTATGCTTGAAATATTAGCTTTGTAGTCAAATAAATTCCCATATCTTCGGCCCTTTTCCTGCCCCTGCGATGGTAGGAAAGTTTACAATACATTGTACTTCAAACGGCCAACCATGAGAAAGATTTGCGATTACATGTAGATATTATAATGTTATTAAGTATAAACATAATTGTTAATACAGTTACATGAACCACGGGTCTTGTATACATACGTTTAGGGCAATAAAGTAAATTAAGCAAGCCAAACATTAATATTACCCGTGGAACAAATTAAAACGTGAGCTTTTGTCTAAGTTAATTTAAAATCCCCCCGGGGATTAATTCTTTTTTTTTTAAACGAACGGTTGCGTAATTATAATCAAATTAAGTAGAACTTAAAAATTGTATAAATTTTGAATCGATTTTTAATTTACATAGTACCATCATGTGCAATAACATGTGAAAAATATTAAAGTCTACAAAACTTACTACCTACGTATTCAAATTAAGATACCAAAATTACGTTTTTTGTTAAAAGCACTTGAGTGTATAACATAATTATATTAACAGAAAATAAGATAACTTATAAGTTGTTACTTTATTTCCTTTTCGGGAAAATCATTAGATGACGTACGTGATTCCAAATAATATATTACTAACACTGTAATAAAAAAAACATTCTAATAATTTGATCTACTTAGGTATTTAATCTTAATAAGTTTTTAATTCGTGAATAATTTGAATAAAGATTTTATTCATGTTACAAAGTAGCTGCCTAATACGAATTACCATAATTGTAATTACAATGTAAAAACAAAGAATGTCTTTGGCGTAAACAACATCCTGGATACAATTAAAATTACCGTTTACTGGATTACGCCGCAGTCAAACATTACGAGAACATTGTAACTGCGATGTGTTTTTTATGCTAAATAAATCTGCAGTGAATAAATCACGCTCTTCGTCAGAATCTTGGAAACCGCATTTTATATTATGGGCCATAAATTAACGTAACTGCGTTTTTACAACCGCTATTTAACATTTACGCACGATGCTTATTTCAATAAAAACTTAAAAACTGCTTAAAATATCATAAATAGATAATGGAATAGTCACAAGTGCGAGAGATGAAAGAGATGAGAGATAACGAAGCGAGGGAACGAGACAGAGTTATCTATTCTAATTTTAAAAAGCAAAGATGGAACCCAAAAATACTATACACCCGACCCGATTAAACAATCAAGAAAAAAGGTCATAAATGTTGCGCATTGCCAATATAAATAGGATCTTCCTGTGCACAACATAGGGTTCATGTTGTCGTGTGTCAAGGGTGGATTTGTTTGCTTTTTGTTCGGGTCTGTAATGTGTTAGCGAGTCAGGTTGGCTACCCTCGTACGGTTACCATGACAACGGGTGATGGCACCTCCCGTTCCGTCAGCTGGGTTCCATTATTCTCGAAAGCATTGTTGTCGGGAGAGATTGTACTAGAGACCACGTATGAAGTTTTAAGAATACTTGAAATCTGATGGCATTTCTAAAATCCAGAAATCATATTGTGTCCGTAATACTGGCTGATCTCATTAGACACGTCCGTAGAATTATTTGTATCTGTCCTATGTGACCCAAAGGTCTGAGAAAAAAGTTTCTTTGCTTTCCTAACATCGAATTGAAACGACAGGTCACTCAAACAATTCTAGACAATTAGCTGACAACTGAGCCACGAAGGCAAATAAGAATATAGGATGCACGTTATAAATATTGCATCCTATATGACCCTTTGTGTATATTGTTTTCGTCTTCCTCAGAGATAAGAGTTCGGTTATTTATTTGTAATCTTAGAATTTTAAACAAGAGACTTAAAAGGACGTCGCCGCGACAATATATCGTGGAAGGCAGCATTAATTAGAGTGTATCTTGCGCCGACATAAGACCATAAACATACAGAGACGAGACCCGGCTCTCGCCTTCCTTTTTTCTTGGAAATAAATCTCACATAATGTCCTCGCTTATTTATCATTTTATTTAACTTTGTACGGACCTACCCACCTTTGTACGAAACCCGTTCTAGCGGTTTGATTAATGTAGGACCGTCGGATCGTTGTAAGGGTCATATTTGAATTACACCAACGTTTGTCCAGTAAGAGCGTTATTTATGGGACGAGTATGGCAAGCTTCTGGAACGATGAGAAATTATGAGGCATGGGACTGAATTATTACTATGAATATTTCTATGAAATTAGATTTCAATAAAAATTAATGTTATAACCATCGGGGACTATCTATTAATGGTATAAATAATTCAATTATCACTCACAAGAGTTAACTTTAATATTAAAATAATATACCTAACAATAATAATAAAAAAATATTAATTAATCTTTATTTTTCTTACTGAAATCATATAAATACAAGCCTATTGACATGTCATTTATAAGAAATTTTGACAGTGTATTAATTTTTGAAGACAATATGTGAAAAGTATTAAAATTTTCCACATGTTATTGCACATGATGGTACTATGTATATTAAAAATCAATTCAAAATTTATACAATTTTTAAATTTCTACGTAATTTGATTGTAATTACGCAACCGTTCATTTAAAAAAGAATACGTAGATAAACTACACTATTAGGAGCATTTTATTCATATACCTACAAATAAATTTTAGGTTTTTTTAAAAGATACACCACAATTTAGTAAGATTCTATGTATCCCTAGGTATACATATTTTAGTCTTTCCTCTCAGAACTCTAAATTACTACCTACCAAGCCAGGTAGGATGCACGACCGGGCATTCCATAGCTGGCCCGCTATCAATTATAGATACACGTTTCGTGAAGGGAAAACTATTTATCTTACCTTATTTATTGAACAACTCGAAAACCAGTCTGGGCCGGGCTATCCGACACATTTTTCATTCCGTGTACGCCTTACCTTGTTCATGGGTTTCATATATGAAAACTGGATCGAAATGAGCTAAATATAGGGAATTGCAATTAATTTTCATATATTTTATCTATTTATTTAAAATATTTCTCGTCTATTTCTACATTTATAGACAAACTATATAAGCTTTTTTAAATTTCATCGTTTTAAGAATGCACGTTAACGAGTACAGATTAATCAAAACCGTGTGTTAAAGTTATTTATTGCTTCTCACAACTAGCAAAGAAATATGGCCAAAAAATATTTAAATATATAACACATAAACATCCTTTTTTAATTCTGTTGAAATTAGAAATCGTCGTTTACAGCCCTGCCATAAAAAGGGTTAACTTTCACAATTTCTAAGAAACCGTTTTTATCTATCAAAACAAAGACACACCTTACAATGCATTAGAAAGTTGCGCAACCCTTCTGCCCAAAGGTTTTTGTGTCTCCAAAATTCTCTATTGTGCTTCTTGGACACTGGACATTTATTGTCTTAACCCTTTCCGTTACTTTTTTAAACACTTTTTGATCTCGGCCAAGCCGTAACGACGGGCTTTTGTAGTATACCTTTCTATTGATACAAAGGTTTTCTTTTTCTAAATTCTAAAACTATAAACTGTGGTATTTGATCCACTTCGTCGCAGTAGCGCATGCCTCTAAAATTATCTTTTACGCGGCAATAAAATATTAATGAGCCATTAAACTTACTTGATGCCTTTGCGAATCGAAGCCAACGCTACACAATAATATACGACAGCAATAAATCGATTTAACATTCGAAGAGTTATGAATACATTTACATACGTTTACTTTCCCATAATTTGTGAGTCGTGACATTAATCGGCTTTCTTTTATTTTCAGGACCGAACGGTTGCCCACGGCGGAGGGGTCGGCAGACCTACACGAGGTTCCAGACGCTAGAACTCGAAAAGGAATTCCATTTCAATCATTATCTCACGCGCAGGCGCAGGATAGAGATTGCGCACGCTCTCTGCCTCACAGAGAGGCAAATCAAAATATGGTTTCAGAATCGACGCATGAAGCTAAAGAAGGAATTGAGAGCCGTCAAAGAGATCAACGAGCAGGCTCGCAGAGAGAGAGAGGAGCAGGACAGAATGAAGCAGCAGCAGCAGGAGAAACAAGCGAAGCTGGAGAGCCAGCACCACGGTCACCACGTGACACACCATCACGACCCCATGAAAATGCCCATCGACAAGGGCTCCGGCGACATCCTCAAAGTGAATAAGGTGCCGACGTAAGGCGCCCACGCACCGCGTTCAATCCTGACTGATACTGTAACATAGTGTGAATACATGAATGAAGTGTTATGTCCACGGGGACTCGCGGGTTGCGTTAGTCGATTCGTATCCACTAGTTTTATGATTGCGGCTAATTTAGGAGTGTCGCCTCGTTGTGGAGGTCCGTGACTTTTATTGTATTAATGTTCCTTTAGTGCGAACTTGCCTGGGTGTCGTTCGCTGGTGGACCGGTGATGTGCTTTAAGCATTTATTTTGTTGCCATAACCACAACATGTATTGCAATAATATTTTACTAAATTTTACAAAGGTGTTAGTGTCGCTCTAAGATTTACAAGTTCATGTGAAATTCGGTATTGTTAGTTAAGATTTTGAATCTGTGAATCTCATAGTATTTATTACTACAGCAACTCTAATACATTATGTTATTTCTTTTATATTATAGTTATTATATTATGTACATTTTGATGTATATTTTATTTGACCGCTGATAGTGGTCTGGTTATGTTTAAAATTTATTCGTCGTGACTTTATTGTGGTAATCTTTGTTGTATTTTGTCAATTATCGGTTCGAGAAGTTACTTGATTAGATTACGTCGTGATTTACTTCATGTGGAGATGTGTTGTTTATTTGAGCGATTATGTTTATTTTTCATTACTATACATTACTTAGATATTATAATACTACCTTCTAATTCCATAAGAACGTTAAACGTATATGACGAAAATACGTATCAAAGTACAATTCATGTGTAGGTTCTTTTGTTTAGTTTCTTGGAAATGTGCAAATATTTTTCGACCGTGACTCTTATAAAACTTTCGACTCCAATTCGACATACAACGCGTTGTCCAAATAAGTCAGCAGTTCAAAATTATATACGTAACATTGGTACATATTAAAAATAATGTGTACTAAGGATAATTTTTACAATGTATCTTTAACGTTGAGTAGAGTAAGTGTAAAATATCTTAGAAGTAAGTTGGACTTTTTATGAAGTAATGTAAGTAGGTATCGATCTCTTTGTTCTATGCTACAGGCGTTACATACGAATATGTACTTGACCGTGAGTTCGGAAAATCATTATGCTTCTAAATATAATTTCCTTAAACCGTCATAGATATAAAGCGTTCTAAGGACTATGATATCGTATTATCTAATTTGCTTCTATTTCATATTGTGCCAAAATACATTAATGAATAACTTATTATCATTTTCAATCATCTTTAGCAATTTATTTATAATATTCCCCTTTTTCAATACTACGCATACTTTGTATGAAAGGCACAGATATTCAAACAACATTTGACGATTGCCTGTTACAGTTAAATATTTAACTTTATTCAAACCATTCTACATACGTAAACCAGAACAAATTAAGTAGAAAACTAGTAAATTAGAATGAATAGTCACCTTTATACGTAAATTATTGCCAGGGTAGAATTAAAGGAAAAATAAAAGTTAATGTGTATCGATTGGAAAATAATTGCTTAATTTTTATAATCATCTCTTATACTTACTGTCCACTGTTCATATAAATATACATCGTCCTAACATTATAATATCGTGGTATCACTAGCGCAAAGATAGATATAAGGTTTTCTATAGTACGTTTACAGTAATTCCAAGCCATCTTAGATATAACGTATAGATTAACGCAATATTAGGTGTGAAATAGTGCGAAACTTTTACGTTTTCCAAAGGAAACTAACGACATTATCGGCGAACGCATGATAAGTGCAATAAATAAAATATTATTTGTTCATTTGGTAAGGTTGTTAGAAAAAAATTAACAATATTTGCCGCGTCAGAGGTACATTCGTGGAGCTATTGAGAAATTCGAAATGGATGATCAACTCGTGAGCACATAGTATCATCGATTGAACATTATTTCAAAATTGAACAAAATGTACTTAACTTCTATATGTGTAGGCTTTATAAATTATACTGCATAGGTGTAACTATAGTGAATACTGAGTATTTTTAAGCGAAAAACCGGTGGAAGTATTTGAAAACGCTTATGCCTATTAGAGTGACGATTGATTTAAGGCTTGGTAGATCGGGACGTACACAGTTACATCGCAGCGCAATGTTTGTATACGACTTGTTACAAAATTGTTATCCAATTGTGGTTGAATCCCTCATGGTTGAGATTTTCATTATTGTTTATTAGGGAAGTGCAAACGCCTCGGATTCAATTATTTTTCGAAATATTTAAAAAGAGAGCCATTTTTAACCTCCAAAATTTGACTTTTCACAAATAATACATTTGCAGGTTTCTGAAAATACAAAATGTTAAGTAATGATAGTGTTTACCACAAAAGAACTATTCAATTGAATACTTTTAACGGCAAAAGTGAAATTATATTCACATTTAATTGTCGCATCGTAGTTCACGACTGCTGTAAAACATTCAATTCGGATGGTAGTTCAAAATAAATGAACTAATATTTTTTTTATTTAATACAAATTTTGCGGTTTGCTATTAGAAGTAAAGAGGCGGTATACACAGGTTTCATTTTCAACAAAAGGCTCGAAGAATATGACTAATGAAATTTGCGTTATATGTACCTACGTCCAATGATTTATGTTAGGTTCTCTATATTGTTTCTGCCTCGTAAACAACTGTAGATAATTCACGAGAAACAATGAGCAATTTGCTAAATAGATTATATACGACCTCCATCTGTCTTGCCATACCATAGCTAGAATTCTCTAGACCTTTTATCTTCGCTGTAATACCTTATCCTCAATGAAAACTTTATCCTTATAACAAAAAAAATATGTATTATAAGATTGGCCGGTTTTTATACACTTTTCAGTTAAATTCGTTGCAATTTTGTTTTGTTACTTACCCACTTTTGTTAAGTTATAGCAATCGATCAATTCTATCTAAATGTAGCTATGTATGTATGTACGTATGTTTATCTATATTTTTGAGGATAGTAATTAAATCTCTAATATAAGTGTAAATAGTTGTGATGGTTTTATGTGGCGCATTATATTTTTTGTTCATATTTTGTTTATGTTATATATTTATGTAAGTTCTGTGCGTTGTTCACTATAACTGAATGCAATTAAGAATATCGATATTATCTTAATTTAGTTTCCTATATTTATTACTCTGAAATGTTTTTATTATTTTCAAACAACGTGAACAAACGTACAGAATGTGACTGTGTCGTGTTAATATAAGCAAAATAGATGGGTGATTGTATATGAAGCCCGTATTCAATATTGTAATATTACTTCCGAAGATTCAAGAGAATAAAGAGTTAATAAAACAAGGAATTCTTTAATTTGTACACTATTTAACCCGTTTACCCCAAGATAATGTATTAAAAAACAAACATTTTACTGTAGTACAACGTAAACTGGTTCAGCTAGATTTAGGCCATTCTTAAATATATATTGATCTTCACAAAATACGGCCGTACTCGTAAAACTTATATTAAATACTAAGAATAATTAGTTACTAAAACGTCTTTGATTCCGTTACAAACAAGGCATGCCTTTAGACAGTAGACTAAATAGGTGGTAGTGATTCTTGGTTCTTTTAATGTATTATCACATTGAGAAAACATATAAAACAACTAACAGATACACTAGTGTATCCTGCGCTGTTACTTGTCTTAACTCATAAGATTTAAGCTTTTCATAACCTCGTAATGGGATGACTATTAATAAAATAAAGTAAAGAATTTAATTGGAGCAATGCATTTTGGAATCTTGCCCATATAATCTTTGTCTTTTCTATTGATAAAAGCTTTGGTTAATACTCGTATAACGTACGTAGTGGCCCAACAAAAGAGAATAATTTTTATTGTTCTTGTTGCTATTTATAATTTTGGCGGTTCATTTAGTTTAAGCTACGCTAAAAGAAGGGATGAGAACCCGATTCTTTCTTGGGCCTTAGGATTAGACAGACCGGGGCCCTTGTCCTAGCTACTGCTTCAATATTATCTTAAGATATTATTATAAATTATAAATCAATGTGAGTATTATTATAATTTTAAAAACCTGTTTTTGTAAGCTTCTAACTACAACCATAGGAAATGTCATATTGTTTTCATGACGGGTTAGTTTTATTTTTGTGATGATCATAAAAATAAGACAATCAATCACAATGAGTCATTTGTGGGTATCTCTCTATCATCTTTGGTCAGTCCCGGGGTTTCTACATAGATCGACACAGTAGGTGAAATTATTGGTGTATATTATTACCCGGGTAATTATCTTTGTCTATGTGGGTAGATACCTACCTACCACATTATAAATTGTGCAGTTATAGCATATTATTTGTAGTCAAACATCAAAATGACTTGTCCTCAATAGTTTTTACCAGTTTCACATAACTACCTTTGCTATAATATACTGAACTTTACATAACAATACACCCGGAAGATACTCAAAATAGTATTAATTTCCAACCGTAACTAATATTCACACTGTCGGCAAGTCATTCTTATAACAATTACTGTCTAATAAATCTCAAAAAAAAAGTAAGTCATTGCCCTTAATCGCTAAATGCCCCTAAATACCAATAACGTTTGTCGGATCCCCGCCAAAAACAAACCATGACTTATACCCATAAGGTACTCTATCCGCCATTTTCGTTCTGTACACTAGTGCTGTCAAATAAATTTTAGACCTACGGAATTCACAATAGGTGGGATCGTTTCGCGTTGAACTCAAAATTGCTCAGCAATCGACGTCCCCTTTTCGAATATAAGTTAAGCGATATGAGCAAGGCTATCAAGCGATTCTGGGCTTAAGGTCGTAAATAATTTTTTGTACCGACCTTTCATTCTATACTTTTGCCTAACACTTTTTGTAGATAGTTTTTCTGGTACCCTATCTTTTGACATTACCTTTATGGCGCCTCATATCTTATGGTGTGTTCGTAGCAAATTTAAATGGCAGTTAAAACGATTTTAATGTTGTTACTGTCAAAACAAATTCAGTTGCATTTCGATTATCACAAAAAAGGTAATTGCTAGTAAA